CACAAATCTGGGAGAAGCGAATAGTATCAATAACCTGGAGTGAAACCCTTTAGGTTCACAGGTCCAGATTGAAACCCACTAAAGTCCTTTTTGACCCCTAGGTAAAGATTCTGCATACCTGCTTTATAGTTAGGCTTCTGATGTTGCAGGTAATCCTCGACATATGACCACAACTGAGCCCAAAATTTCTGGTGCTAAGGTGAGACAGTTGTTTAGCAAATGTTGCCCCATTTTATGACCTTTCTTGACATCATTGTTAAGTGAGTCACTGCAGCTGTTAAATGAGTAACATGACTGTTCAGTTAATAGCATGGTTGTTAAGTGAATCTGGCTTCCCCACCGACTTTGCTTGTCAAGAAGGTCACAAAAAGACATCACACGACCCCGGCACACTGCAACCCTCGTCAATGTGAGTCAGTTGCCGAGCGTCTCAGTTTTGATCACATGACCATGGGGAGGCTGCCACGGTCGTTAAGTGTGAGAAACGGACGCAAGTCACTTTTTTCAATGCCGTTGTAACTTTGAACGGCTGCTAAATGAACTGTTGAAAGCCGAGGACTTGTATTGTTTAGGTACCCCCACCTGAAGTTTGTGACTGTCTTTTCTCTGTGGTGAGAGCCAAGGGGCCTCTCTGGATTTCTCATTCTTCTCTTAAGATTGTAGAGATCGAACACAATCCCACGGCATCCGACCGTCTGGAATATGACCCCGAATGGATTGCTGTTCTGAAGGCTACTAATGATCTCGTTAATGTCTCTCCTTGCTACTGGAACATGCCTGAAAATAATGGACTGCATGAAAAGTAGGTGTACCGTACGTAATCTTGTGGGCTGGTAAATTCAGTCTGAAGTTCTAGAGCAGGGGTCTGCAACCTTAAACACTCAAAGAGCCATTTGGACCCGTTTCCCACAGAAAAGAAAACATCGGGAGCCACAAAACCTGGGTGGGCGTGGCCAACTCGATGTCACTCCCTCCCACCCAGTCACATGACACACACACACCCAGCCATGCCTACCCATGTTTTGTGGCTTCCAGTGTTTTCTGTGGGAAACGGGTATCTCTCTGTGTGTGTCTCTGCCTGTGTGGCTGATGGTCGGATTCCGAAAGATCTCCTGTATGGAGAACTAGTGCAGGGAAAGCACCTCAGAGGGAGACCACAGCTGCGATATAAGGATATCTGCAAGAGGGACCTAAAGGCCCTGGGAATGGACATTAACAACTGGGAAACCTTGACCTCCGATCGTTCAGCTTGGAGGCTAAAGACGCAGCATGGCCTTCTCCAATTCGAAGAGACACTTGTTCGGCAGGCTGAGGCAAAGAGGCAGTCCCGGAACCAGCAAAATCTGGGGGCTGGGCAGGGGACAGAATGTATCTGCCCTCAGTGTGGAAGGGATTGCCACTCTCGGATTGGCCTTTTTAGTCACACTAGATGCTGTTTTAGGACCTCTTTCCAGAGCACGATACCATAGTCTCTGTCTCTCTCTCTGTCTCTCATCTCTCTCAGGCCAGGCGAGGAGTGACTGGAAGGGGAGGGCAAGGGGTGGGGCCAGCCAGTGGAGGATTCAGCCGATAGGGAGCCACAGCAGGGGGACGAAAGAGCCGCATGAGGCTCCAGAGCCGCAGGTTGCAGACACACGTTCTAGAGGAAGGGTCCCCAACCTGTGGCCACCGGGCCGCATGACTGGCTAGCCAGCCGGCACATTCGTGCTAGCGTTGCCACAAGTGCTGTGTTGGAATAAAAAGGAAAAATATAGTTCAGCACCAAATGCAGTTGCTTTTACAAGAAGATTCAACCATGTAAGCTGTTGGGTAGTTAGAGAGATTCTTCATGCCCAGACATTAAAAATAAGAGCTGAAGTTCTAAGCCACGATAGAAAAAAATGCTAAGAAACTTTATGAACTTTATTACAACTTTAGGTACCTGTAGGAAGTATGGCCAGTAGTAAGGGATGCAACCGAACGGAGTTCCATAATTTCTTTGCTCGATTAAAACATGTAGAGGGATTCAGAAGAAGAAGGGCTCATTTCACTGAAACTCTGAGCTTTTCCCTTTTTGCAGATGGGATTACAGTGTTACGGAAGAAGATATCAAGAAGGTTTTGGAAGAGATCAACCGTGACCTTGCCATTCCCCAGAACTTCAGCATTACAGAGGCTTGTTACAATTCAAACAAGACTCAGCAAAAGACTGACTTGATTCATAGAATCAGCCCCCAGACTACCGAGTTCTGTGCCCGGTTCGGCCTTGTGGACATCAATGCTAAAATTCAACAGCGGAAGGAAGAACACAGAGGTGATGTGCCTCAGGGTGAAGAGGAGGAGGAAGAGGAGGAGGAGGAAAAGGAAGAAGAAGAAATAGACACTACCGGATCGATGATGGAGTCTAGTACCGATGTCTCTAGTTTAATTTCTTTGAACCCTGATGAAATATTACTGGACGATGATAGCTGCGATGATGACTTGGAGACTTCAGAAGGACCATCCTCTGATCTTTCCTGCAATACTTCAGAAATCTTTTCTGATATCAGAATCCTGCCTGATTCTATGGCAGTGTCCCCCAATGACACTCTGGATGTTATAGAAGATGAACTGGAGAAATCCAGCAATGGAAATCAGGCCGAGGAACAAAGCCCCGATGGGAAGCCTTTGAAGCGCCTAAGTGATGAGAACAAAGAAGGGACAGTTGGCCCCAAGAAAATCAAAAGGCGGAACCAGGCTATCTATGCTTCCAAAGATGAAGATGAGACAGGAGATGACAATCCGTTTTCTTGATTGAACTGAGTGATGGGATCATAATTCCTGGCGTACCTGCGGCAGCTTCAGAAGTTATGGAGCTCTGTATACTTTTGATATTGCAGTTGTAATAAAAGCCTTATTTTTAAAATAGTACTTTTTTATAGTAGATCAAATATTTTATTGACATCTGCAGATTGATTAGGAAGAAAGAAATTATAGGCTTTTGACAACCAAAAGCTAATGTAAAACTTTAGAATTTTTGCTACGGATTTCCCTACAATTTGGATTTGTTTTAATGAATCAAAAAAAAAGAAATATTGTTTACATCTAATTGAATCGATTCAAAGTCTTTTAATTTTTATTAAAACATGTTTTTGTCTTTTATCATTCAATTTACTTTTATGTCCATCCATATTGGGTGTATTTTGCAGCAATAACAAGTGGTTTCTCTCCTTTGTTCAAGTCAGTTATCTTTATAATGGGTCTGAGACCAGATAAGTCCCAGAATTGAAACTAGGATAGATAGTCTGGTATCCTTCAGATGTTTTGGACTTCATAAGTATTCATAAGGCCTTATGAACAAATGTTGAGCATTGTGGAAGATCCGTGTGTCTACTTCTGGAATAATCTGTGATATTGTTATCTCTAGGATAACAGGCAAAATAATAATTTGTGAAATTGGAAAAGCAGAATTGTGCATTGGGCCAGAAGTGAAAGTTTATTCTCCTTAATATCATAACATTCTAGGCTCGTATGTGTGTATAAATGTTGTTTTATAAAACAACAACACTTGTTTCCGACTCTGTTTTCCAGTTTGTGAAAGGAAGATCCATCTGTATTTCTGTTTTTGTCCCAGCGTGTGCAACATGAATCTTTATTCTTCTGGATTAGAGTTCGTGCCAAGGCATAATTTAAGACGACAAGGATGAACTTCAGCACTTATTTGTAAAAAAAAGTTTCTCCTCCAAATCGTTATGCTAACTATGGGCTGGCTGAATAAAGGGATCTTTGAACCATGGGTTACGAAACTCTTTATTTTTACAAAACCTAGTTAATATTGGCTGCAGTTTAGGATTGGATTACACCTTGAAATGCAGCTGGTGCAATTCAGAGGATGAAGTGGTCTATGCAAACTAAATCTAGGTTACTTACTCTGTCTGTTTGCAACCCCAGCTACTACTTCACCCCATAAAGGTTGAACTGTTGCAAACTCAGTATTTTAATTATAAAAAAGTAATTTGGATCAATTCTGGCAATGCAGATTATACCGTTTTATTGATGTTGCACAGCAGTTAATACTAAAAAAATATTTTCTCCCTACATACACCAACAACAATTGGAATTGCCTTCTCAGGATACTTATATTTTTATTTTTTATTATTTATTTAGCATTATACAGAAGCAGCAATATCTTTTGCCATAGTAAGGAACGCCTGACTTTGTTTCATGTTTTGTGGGCACATGTATACAACACGTTAATGTGCCCATGTACATCTATTTCTCTTAAGTTCACTGTTCCACTTGCATCTGTGAAGTCCCTTTTTCTGAAGGACAACAAAAAAGCATATTGACAAGATGCAATGAGTGACAGGGCGAGGAAGGATTTCTTACTTGTGGAAATAATGCTTACAGATAGTCCTCGAAATAACAACCAGTCAATAAATGACCCATTCAAAGTTATGATGAACTTTCCGAGAGCTCTTTACGACCCGTTTTCAGAGTTATGATGGTCACACGCCCTCTTGCAAATCATGTGATTGCATTTTGGACAACTAGCTTATCTTTACAACTATTTACAGGATCCCACAGTCACATAACCATGGTTTGCATTTTTTTTTTTTTTTTTTTGGTATTCCAGTTTCCAGCAAAAAATACTCATTGGGGAAAATGGATTTGCTTAACAACCGGGGCATTCACTTAATGACTGCTAATGAAGTAACTTCACATCCTGTCATGGGATGTCTCGAGTTAAAACTGAAATTCTGGGCTCAATTGTGGTCATACTTCGAGAACAAGCTGTATAAAACCCAGCTTGGAGAGCAATTCAACTGAAACGCTGCTGCTGGGGAGACCAGGTGCCAGAAGAGGGCATCCTGTACCCAGCAATGCAACCACTAGCTAATTCTAGTTCTGCCAATTAAATGGTCTCTTGACTTTCACGTGGCAGCCGTGCCCATTTGTGGAGTCAAAAATCCTAAGTGATGCCACAGTATTCATGGGGTGAAATTGACTTTTTGACCATATCCTGCATTCATCCCTATAAAAATCTTTTTTGGAAACAACTCAGTGTCTTGCCCACTGCTGTGAGCGCAGGGTGAGATCATAAAACAATGGAGGCTTTTTTAAAAATATGGTTTGGTAATATACGTGCTTTTTGAATATAAAAGGAAGCGATTTATTATTTCCAAATTTTCAGTTATAAGGTTATAGTAGTATACAATGCTGCTACTTTCACCACCAAATTTTGGAGGATGTGTAAATGCATAGAAAAAGGGACGTAATGAAAGCTGGCGAAATGCACAGGGAGAAAGCTAATATTTAATTTCCTAGAGCATTTATTCTGACATCGGGATCCCTCCCAATACAGTGAAGTCTTCCTTATTGTGCTAGCGGGAGTACGCAGCTTGGTTGCCTGAATTTCTCTGCATGGTTCCGCGAATCCACTTGGCGAATTGACAGACGTTCGTATAAACTCCAGGCTTCCCAGGTTGGGCACAGATTTGCGTCCCCCAGGAGATGACCCCTTGGAGTCTGTTGTTGCAAACTAGGGGTCCCCTGGAATCGCCCTGCAGGGCAAAGAACAGAACTATTCATTTGTTGCAATAAAATTATTTCTATCCCAATTTCACACCTCTGCAGAAACCCGGCCAAAACATGGAACAATAAAATACTGGTAGGTGTACCATTCAAATACATGCAGCATGGAGGTCTTGCAAGAAAGTTCCGGGAAATAAAACAATGGTAGAAAATCAATAAGCAAAAAGCTGTTAGAAGGAAGCTGATTAAGAAAGGAATTCAGAAATCCCCTTTGAAAAGGCCCTCTGTTATTATGCAGCAGCTTAATCAGGCTAATAATTAAATACTGTAGTGAACTATTTACTAATAGTTAAATTGTAATTAAAGACTGCAAGAGTTCTGAAGCTCTGAATTCTGTGAAGCTTACTCTCAATTATGCATAGAATTATAATCATGTCCTACATAGGCGATCTGTTTGTTTTAGATGTCTTCATTTTATGATTGGCAAAAAGAGCCTTGGTAACGTCGGAGAAATCCAGGTTTTTCATCGGAACGGTGTGACATGCTAAAATGACACACAGTGCAGGGATTGTGCTAACATCCCATCTCAAAATCTTTGCCAGATTAAAAAAAAAATTAAAAACGTGCATAAGAATTTGCAAACAAAAATGGAAATTATTATTTATAATAATTATACTACTATATATTTATACAGTAATTATTAAATTCCCAAATTATTAGGGAAAAATAAAAAAGTGCAATACTTGATATATGCACACAAACACACACCCAAACCCCTCATGATCCTGTTATCCCTTGTTTCAGGGTGGGTTTGGGGCAACTGAATGGCACTGAGTGTTTACTGGGCAGATGCCCTTCCTGATGCCTATGCAAAGTTCACAGCAAATATTTTCTCTTTGTGCCCTGATGGAGAAACATCTGTCACTGCCTAGGATTGAACGCTCAGCCTTTTGAGTGGGAGGTGAGCAACTTCATCTCTAGGCCACTGCAACATTATATAAAAGATATACTAGTTGGGTATGGACCCAATTTTCATGGAGAAAATCTATGTGGTCACAAAGTCAACACTGATGTCTTGGCACATAATATAAGTATGTGAACAAAGACACACTGAAAAGCATTGACATCTTGCATATAGAATAGGATAGAATAACAGAGTAGGAAGGGACCTTCTAGTCCAACCCCCTGCTTAGGCAGGAAACTCTACACCACTTCAGACAAATGGTTATCCAACATCTTAAGAACATCCAGTTTTGGAGCATTCACAACTTCTGGAGGCAAATTGTTCCATTGATTAATTGTTCTAACATCTACTGATGATAGATCATCTTTACATTACTTATTGGTATAATAGAAAAAAAACAGCCTGGGGAGATGTTTATGGATTTTTTTCTCCAGAGGAACCTTCCAAATTTACCAATATTGGTGGACATAAAAATACCACAGGAGAATCACACCAACCAACAGAATTGTACTTTTAAAAAGCAGCAGATCTGGTGGTCTGGACCATTAATAATAATAATAATAACCTTTATTGTCACTGCACAACATAGGTACAATGAGATTGGTGGAGCTCCCTCAGTGTGGGAGTGGCTAATGGCAGCCTCAGGCTACACCTCAAGACCACACCCGATCTTTAGGAGGCTGAAGGCCACAGGTGGTGGGTCCATACAGATAGCCATCCATGTGGAAGGAGAGTTGAGGTTACACCCCCCATGCCCTGTTTTGGGCCTAGTAAGCCTCCCTGCAGCCTCCTGGGAAAAAAAACAAGCCACGGGGGGGGGGGCGCACCGTACCCCACCGCACCCTGTTTTGGGCCTAGTAGGCCTCCCTGCGCTTATCTGGGAGCCAAAATAGGGCGTGTGGGGACTCTGGAAGGAGAGGGGCGGGGAGGGCCTGGACCAGCCACCAATTTAACAACCGGTTTGTCTGAACTGGCCCGAACCGGCTGAATCCCACCACTGCCTGGGAGGGTGGAGGGAAAAAAAGGGAGGGCGGGAGAGAGAGAGACAGAGAGACAGAGAGATTGCACCTTCTATTGTGACAAATGTTGGGCTTTGCAAATCCCCTCACCTGACAAGAGTCCACGCCTCCTCCTCTCACACCAGCACATAGCATGTTTTCCGTGATAGAGCTTGAGTATGCCTGTTTGCAGTCTTCATGGGATATTGTGTAGACCTGTGCACACTGTAGGAGGTCAGGGTATTCAACTACCAACAACAACAAAAAACCCAACAGTTTTTGATATTATAATCCAGTAAGAGAAATTTATTGGGACTTAGATCTGCTCAAGGACTCTTTGATGTTTTAGTAATGTCTTTCTTCACCCACCTCCTGTTTATGTGAAATGTAGGCCTTCCTCACCCCCCCAAAGATTGATTTATGAGAAGATTTCAAGAATCCTGCGAGTTGAACTCCACATCACTTAAAAGTTGCCCGAATTGAGAAATTACGCAATCTGACAACTGTACCTTGTGGTGACTTGATGGTGCCCCAGCCTGATACCTCACAATGAGTGTTAGGCTGAGCGCATTCGGTAGCCAGTTCAATGGGTCGGACGTACTGGTTGATAATAGCAGAATTGCGCAACTTTAGCAGCATGAGGTCACTGTTGTGTGTGGTGGGATTGAAGGCTGGATGTCGGAATTTCTGCTCAGAGGTGATGCATTGCTCAGAGCCCTCGTTGTCTCGAAGGCTCTGATCACCCATCCGGGTATGAATATCCCTGCATGGTTAGAAGAAAAAGAATTGCTGTCAGGAAGTCTCCTCAAAAGAACCCTGTTGGGCCAATCTATTGAATCCTCCACTTCACTTCCCACATTGGCCACCAGCAGTGAGTGACTTCCCAAACTTGCATTTCAGGTCCATGATTTGCAACCTTTGATGCCACCTCTACCTTACACTGCTTTTAGGCTAGTTTAATTCTCATACTCCATCCCAAAGAATCCTGGGAATTGTAGTTTAGTGAGGATATTGATACAGTAATTCCTCAACACAGTATTGTCAAGCATCTTCATACCAACATTCAGAGTTATTAGGCTATTGAATTGTCTTGGCTTATTAAAGCTATACTGCTATTTATTTTTACCTTGATAGTCTCACTGAACTCAGGAGGACTTACCTGTGAATAATCAATCAGATATGCCAATTCCATTTCCCTCCTTGACATTACTAGCTGCTGAAGAGTCTATCTATCCTTCTGCATTTGTTTATGTTAACCTCTTCTGCTTCAAGGTAAACATTGTTATTTCTTTGGGGTATGGCTATCTCTGAAAAACACAATTGTCTTCTATCTCAGTGTTTCAGAATGAATACCATTCTGTTCAAGGGCAGCCTAAAAGAGCATCGTATTAAACATTCCTATGATACAACTGGGATGTATTCCGAAATTAACCCTGGGTATTCAAAATATGCTAAAACTATTTCAGAGTGAGTGATTTTCATAGCCCATTGATTCTCTTGCTGGAAATCTAGAAATTGGTGATTCAGAGACAACACTTCTGGACTTTCCTTCCTTGCCGCAACTCGAGGTTTTCTTACCCCTGCTGGTCACAATGAGCTGCAGTAAGTACCCAATCTTTGTCTATCAAGACACCACCGCACTGGACATCGGGTTCATTTTTCTTCCTGTTGGAGAGGATGACCTGGAAAGGTTGAGCGTGCTTGGGACACTCTTGACCTCCAATGATCCGAGACTCATCCTGGGCTGTCCCTGGAAAGAAAGATCCCTCAGCAATTAGCAAAGTCCTACTGCTAAATCAGCAAAGAGACAGGGCCAACATCAACTTCACCTTTCCTGATCTAAATGTCTTCTAAATACTTTGGGATGTATTCCTTTCATAGATCTGGAGAACATCAGACTAAGTACGAGCCCGCAAACTCAGTTTCCCACAAATAGTAGCATTAAAATATTAAAATAATGACATGCGCACAATGACATTGTCATGCAAAAATCACTATTACATATTTGCATCATGGAAATATATAAATTGTGCTATTTGCCTGATGACATTATCATGAAGTTGTTGTTTTAATCTAGTCTATTTTAGCATAAAGGGATGTGGTGGCTCAATGGCTAAGATGCTGAGCTTGTCCATCGAAAGGTCGGCAGTTCAGCGGTTCGAATCTCCTTAGTGCTGCGTAACAGAGTGAGCTCCTGTTACTTGTCCCAGCTTCTGCCAAGCTAGCAGTTCGAAAGCACGCAAAAAACGCAAGTAGAAAAATAGGGACCACTTTGGTAGGAAGGTAACAGCGTTCCATGGGCCTTTGGCGTTTAGTCATGCTGGCCACATGACCACGGAGATGACTTCGGACAGTCCTGGCTCTTCGGCTTTGAAACGGAGATGAGCACTGCCCCCTAGAGTCGGGAACAGCTAGCACATATGTGCAAGGGGCACCTTTACCTTATTTTAGCAGACTGTGAAGATTCAGCCATTCAATTTTTTAATGTCTCATTCATAATTCAGACCAAAATTCCGAACCACACTTCCAGATCTAACATAGCAATGTTATTGCTATGTTGCTTGCAGGAGTCATAATTTTCCTGCTTGCATCTACTCACAACATTGCTCTTGTTCCAAAGGCAATGGCATGTCAGTAGATGCTCTGAGTGGGTCAGCATGTACCTAACACACTGTGTTATCCCAACATAGTTAAGCAAATTAGCCAAAATCTAGCAGCTGCATTTCCAGACAGTATTAAACTTGGTGGGTCTATCTCTTGATTCTCTTTTGTGGTTTTGGACACAAGTCTCAACTACCTGGTTAATTTGTAGTACATTGTTGAATGCGAATCCCAAAAGCAGGTTTAATTCAGTAATCCAGGTTAAAAACATGGCATGAATACAACTCTTGTTTCCTGACAAATCTTGAAAAAAAGAGGTGTGGGTTTATTTCAGCACATATTGAGCTATTTACAATATTGACTCAGACATGGATAGATAGATAGATGATAGATTTATTGAACAATTTGTGTAACTGCCCATCTATCAAAAGAAACTCTGGACTGATTACTGTAGATAGTGCCACCCGGCTACATAATTCGGTGAAAATAAATTGACATGACCAACAGTTGAATCTGGCTACCTGAGGATCATGAGGAGCCAATGGTCTTCCAATATTGTGGCCCCATCTCCAACCTGGGATTCACTGGCATGACAGCTGCTTCTGTTGGATTAATGGTAGGACCAGATTTCTAACAAATCTCACAGTGTAATTCAGAAGACCAAGACCAAGATGGAAGAAGAGGGAGGAGGAGGAGGAGGAGGAGGAGGAGGAGGAGGAGGAGGAGGAGGAGGAGGAGGAGGAGGAGAAGAAGAAGAAGAAGAAGAAGAAGAAGAAGAAGAAGAAGAAGAAGCCCTACTTGTCCATGCTTCATATTCTGCTTCCTGATGTTAAAATGTAAAAAAACTATCTTAGACATCAGATTACAAATAAACATAGATATTATAGAAGCATATAGATGCTGACCTGTTCCTGTTTCCATCGTTCATTTCATTATTATTCCCAGGTTTCCTTTCCTTACCTGTAAGTATCAGTAGAAGTAGAAATAACTTGAAAAGCTGCACATCCTTGCAGGGAATAGGTGTCATCTGGCTGAGTTTTCCTGGTTGCTGGTGGTGCTATTAGATGAAGAGGAATTTATTTCCACAGAGTTTACCACCCTTAAATCTCCACTGGCCCCACCTTCCTTGCCTTTGTCTAGAAACAGAAGGATCCAGTTATGGGACTCCTCTTTTCTCCCTCCCACGCAGCCGGTATCCTATCAATCAATCTATCCCTTGAGGCACATGTGGCCATACAAAAGAAAATGAAGCAAATCCTGTAGAGAGGACTTGATCTCACCCTTTGGCAGAAGAACCTTCAGCAGAGATCGAGAATAAAGCAATAGCCTTGTTTGCTTTGAGAGAACCTCTTGAGCAGCTTCTGAAGAAAAATAAGGATCAGGGGTGGGCTTCAAAAATTTTAGCAAGGGGTTCTCTGCCCGGTTGCTGGGTGGGCGTGGCCATGGTGGGCGTGGGCTAGTCGGCCTCCTGCACCACGGCAGGGGGATCTGCCCTCCCTGGGCTCTGGAGGCTTTCCTTGAGCCTCCAGGAGGGCGAAAACAGCTTCCCCAGGCTCTGGAGGCCCTTCCCGAACTTCTGGTAGGCCCGTTTTTCACCCTCCCCGAGCCTCCATGGGCACCCTGCACTTACCTTCATCTAAAAAGGGCCATGTGGGGACTCCTGGGAGGGATGGGAGAGATGGGGCCAGCCAGGAGTGGGATTTGGAGGTTCTCTGAACTGCACAGAATCTTAGCTAGAGGTTCTCCTGAGCCGCTGGGGACCCCCAGCAGCCCACCCCTGATAAAGATGGATAGGACAATTCAGAGAGTCTCAGTCACTCAGGTCCTGGTTGTCCCAAGGGTGCTTTTTCCTTTGAAAAGTTTCTCTTCTCATCCAAGAAGCATCTTCAGTTCTTAGTAGAATTTAAGAAGCTTCTTTGATGAGAAGCGAGATATTTTGAAAGAAAAAAAAAAACCCAAGAAAGTCCAGTTGACTTTTGGAAAAAGCACCTTTGGGACTTAGATGAAGTTCACCTTGTTATCTTCACAACAATGACAGTGTGAGGTAGGCTTAGCTGAGTGAAGGCAGTTGGACCAAAGTTGTCTAATGAATTCCATGACTGTGAGTGGACTTGAACCTGGGGTCCCTGTTACCTCTGTGGAGTTTCAGAAGCAAGCTTGCCCTCACTAGCTTGAAGTGGCAAGCTAGTGCCAGAGGGCGGGTGTGGGGGCACACCCCCTCTCTGGAATGAGCTACCCCAGGGATACGACTGATCCCAGACCTCCGAACCTTTCGCCGGGCTCTGAAAACGTTCCTATTTCGGCAAGCCGGGCTGGCTTAAATTTTTTTATTGGTGAATTTTATGGGTAAGGGGTTTTAAATTGGGGAAAGCCATTATGGATTTAATTTTGTTTTAAATGTATTTTAATGTTTATATTGTATGTTTTTTAATCTTGGAAGTTCACCGCCCCGAGTCCTTCGGGAGAGGGGGCGGTATAAAAATTTAATAAATAAATAAATAAATAAATAAATAAATAAATAAATAAATAAATGTCAAAAAGGAGAAATGCAACTGAGTGGTGTATATGTGATGTTTAAAATATAATTACATTCTTTTATAGAGAATGAATTAAATATATTTCCTGCATGTAAAAATCAGCAGGACTTCAATCACATACCTGTCACTACCATTTGATTTTCTTGATCCTTACCCCCATGCCACAAACACCTCTCTTCCCTGTTTTTTGGCCATGCCAGTGGGACTTTTGAATGCATCATATTTATTTTATTTATTTATTTTATTCAATTTGTATACCGCCCTTCTCTTAGTGGACTCAGGGCGGTGCACAACCAGAACTAAAACACATACCAATACAAAATTTAAATTTTTTAAAAGAATTACATGACTTTGGCCCAAAATTTAAAACATTCAAACTAAAACCCATTGACAATTTAAAAAGCTAAAAAAAAAGGGGGGGGGGGTTCACGCCAGCCCTGCTTGATGGAAAAGAAAAGTTTTTAGGGCACGGCAAAAGGCCCAGAGATCCGATATCCTTCGTATCTCTGGGGGCAAATCGTTCCAGAGGGCAGGAGCTGCCACAGAGAAGACCCTCCCCCTGGGGGTCGCCAGCCAACATTGCCTGGCTGACGGCACCCTAAGGAATCCCTCTCTGTGGGAGCGTACTGGTCGGTGGGAGGCTATCGGCGGCAGAAGGCAGTCCCGCAAATACCGCAAATATTTATTCCTTCCAGGTTGGTTTTATGGAACCCCATGACCAGGGTTTCTAACCCTTGGCCTTTTTAAAATAGGTAGACTTCAATTGCCAGAATTCCACAGCTGTCTGCTGAATTCTGGAAATTGAAGTCCACCTATCTTAAAGGTTGCCATGGTTAAGAAATCTTGCCCATAACAATTGAATGGGACACGTCAAATTCTGGGGTGTGTGCAGCTGATAAGTGGATGATAGTCTTTGTTCCTCCTCATTCTGTTTTTTAGGAATCCAAATGAAGGTTAGTAACCATGGTAGAAGTGTTATGGAGTGTCAATCACACTTCATTCCAATGGGATGCTTGATTCAGCGCAGAGGTGGCTCTTGAAGTTTATTATGACACTGATTTATTGCATCCTGATCAGGTCATTGAATCCACTCCAGTTTATGCATTGTTCTGGTTTTGAGTCACTTAGAGGAACCTCTAATGGGCAGGGTGGATATGAAAGAATATGTACCCCTTCCTGATGGCATAATCCTTGACTATTGTGGATAAGGGTGGCGCTGAAGGGTACATTCACAGACATGAACCTCCTCCAGATGCAGAAATCAGGGTTCATAGCTGATGAGTGGATGCAATGTTGCAAGTCAGCCACATGTTGAAAGGCTTGCTTTGAGATTCTGTAATGATAGGGTATAGGGACGCGGTGGCTCACTGTCTTAAGAAGCTAAGCTTGTCAATCGAAAGGTCAGCAGTTAGTTCAGCGGTTCGAATCCCTAGCGTTGCGTAACGGAGTGAGCTCCTGTTACTTGTCCCAGCTTCTGCCAACCTAGCAGTTCGAAAGCACATAAACCCGTTGCTAAAATTTTTGAAGCTCACCCTTGCCTCTCAGATATACTGTAATGGTATGTGGGAGTAACCTTGGGAGGGAGGAGGATGAGCTGCAGACTAGGCAACTGCCATGCAAAAGGTATCTCAGTCCCGAGAAGTAGAAGAAACATGGGAAGCACTTCAGAAGGAACCTCACTAGTTTTCTGGGCAGTACAAGGAAATTAGGTTTGGGACACTTTCAGAATAGCAAGATTCTTTTAAAATAACTATAGGAGATGAGTCAAACACATCATCAGTCTCGAATCCCTTCACACCCACAAGAGATCTAAGTTCAGCCCACCTTGAATTCCTTTGATTCTCACCTACCATCAATTTGCTTTGACCGTTAGTAGTTCAGATTCTTGTAGAGAGCTTACACTTGCAGTACATCTTTATATTCATTTGAACTGCCTGGATTTCCTGATTTCCCTGGGACCTGACATTAGCCTTACAATAAAAATAGAACTGGTGCTCATTATTGTGCTTTTCTCTGGACTACCTCAAAGGGCTAACATCTGATAGAGTAGCAATAAATGTGGGAGATTTCAGAGAAAACGTATCACTAGTATTTGAAGAAAGATTCCATGTACAAACCAAGGAGAAGTAACAAGATCACCCATCTGTTGCCCTCTGATTTATTACCAGTTTTAATCAATATATATAAATGAAGGTTTGAGATTGTAATTCAAGAATACCAATAAAAAGAATTTTTTGTTGCAGCTGTTCCATGTCATTTTCTTGATTTCTCTTCTGTATTTCCATCTTGGTAACCTCTTTATTGTTATCTTCCATGCTTCAAACTCTATGTTAGGTGAAAGTTTTCAATTTTTTTTCTCGTCATCTTTTAAAAGTTTATCCATTAAAATCTGATCCTTTATGAGATATTACTTATTAATATTTTAGGTCATGTAAAAAAAACTTTAAGATGAGAAAAAGTTATTGCTGGGTTGGCCATTTTAACTCTTTTCTGCTTGATCTTTTGATTTCCACTGGCATCCATTGGCAACCTTCATTTTTAAAATTAAATTTATATGCCACTCATCTCACAATCAAATGACTCTGGACAGCTTTATCAACTTTTATTAAAACTCAGTTCCAAATATGGTTTTCATTTCAGTCATTTCCCACAAATACATTATTTCATTACATACTTGCCTTTCAAATCTTACAGAAAAAATAATAACCAATATTACAAATCTCCCTGGTTTCCCAATCCATTTTCCCCTGTTTTTTGTCAATTGTATATTATTGTAAATTTTCAAGACACTAATTAAAATATCTTAAATCCAAAGAAGTTAAAACTCTCCAGGTGTCCAATTGAGTTTTCTGTTTCGAAAGTCTCTAATATCCATAAACTAGTTAAATTGAACCTTTCCAAAAGTAATTAGAAAGTGAGTTCAGTTGTCTTAATGGCCTTATGAAAAGCCATGCCCCTACTGAGAACAAAGACATCAACTTGGCTCCTGGTGCTCAAACCCTTGGGAGATGGTTGTTTTATGCTCTCCTCATGAGAAGCTGAAATTCAGAGCACCTCTGGGTGACTTCCCAATCTCTCCTTCTTTGGAGAAATGCGAAGGATTCATCAGTCTTTTGCACGGTGGTCATTGTCTCCACTTCTTCACAGAGGCATTCTTAGTGAGCCATGACTCACACCGGAAGCCAGGGGTGAAAGCTATCACTGAGGATCTCCATTTTAATGTAATCCATGAATCTGAAGCTTGGCCCAACCGTGCCATGCTTTAAGAGGTGCCCATAGAATAAAAAGAAAAGTCAAGATGGCAGCCATGATGGTACAATTGAATTGCAGCCCAGGCAAACCTAAATTTTTGACCACACCCTACAGACCTCCCTGCACACTTAGCATGCTGCAAGAGCCAGATTTCAGAGTTTACTGAAATCTAGATAATCACAAACTGCTCTGACCAGTGGTGGTATTCAGCCAATTCAGACCGGTTCAGGTGAACCGGTAGTGGCGACCTGCGGGTGGACCTGCCCACCTGCCCCGGCACTATGCCGTCCTATTTAGCCACGTTTTCTAAGCCACGTGCATGTGCGCAAGCCACGTGCGTGAGCAAAGCACATGCGTGAAAGGTGCAAACCGCGCGCTCGCTCACATTTTCAAAGCGCGGTGGTAAAATTATGTGAAACCCACCTCTGGCTCTGACATTGAAACGGGAAGCATACAGCCCAATGTGTTTCTTCTGGCCAACCATTATAATAAACCAGGGGTGTCAAACTCCATTTCATTGAGAGCCGCATCAGGGTTGTGTTTGACCTCAGGAAGGCCGGGGGGGGCGTGGCCAGCTCAACGTCACTTGTGTCGTGGGTGCCTGTGGTGGGCTGAGTGTTCTGCCAGCGAAAATGGACTCCCGGGCTCCGTTTTCAACTGCGACGGCGTCCTGCAACGCGCAAAAATGAAGCTCGGGAGGGGGCCGCCTGCGGCCCCCCTGAACTCCATTTTTGCTAGCAGAGGAATCATGGGCCGGTCATTCGCTGTTTCCAGGGCAACCCCATGGGCCAGATCTGGCCTGTGGGCCTTGAGTTTGACACCCCTGTAATAGACCCTCTTGCTCCAATGCCCAAACAGAGAGAAGAGATGAGCAAGTGGTAGATGCAATGTGGTTATTGGTCTTACCAAGTGGGAAATGAAGCCTGAAAATGGGGTACTGATAAAAAAAGAAGATATTTCTGAGTTAAATTGTTGAGGAGCCTTCAAAACCTGGTTTTGATATTGGAACCAGGGCATTATTACTTTTTTTCCTTCCCGTTCTCTTTTCCCCCACTCCTTTGCTCTTCCAATCCCTCAGAATAAGACAGCCAAGAATGAAGATGTCTGTGGCCCTAATCACCTGCCCCCACCAATTTCTCATACAACGGTTCAGTGCTCCCCCATCACTTGTTTATACATTGACTTACCACCACAATTTCTCTTGTTAAGCAAGACAGTTGTTAAGCGAACTTTGCCCCATTTTACAATTTTTCTTGCCACGGTTCTTAAGTGAATTGTTCATTAAGTTAATAATATGGTTGTTAAGTGAATCTGGCTGTCCCATTGACTTTGTTCGTCAGTAGGTCACAAAAAGTGATCACATGACCCCAGGACACTGCACCTGTCAAAAATATCAGCCAGTTGCCACATGTCTGAATTTTGATCACATGATCATAGGGATGCTACAACGGTTGAATGAAACACGGTCATAAGTTAATTCTTCAAGTGCTGTTGTAACTTTGAATGGTCACTAAACGAATGATTGCAAGCTGAGGGCTACCTGTACAAGACACGATTGTTCTCATCGCTTTTCACAATACAGAATGATAGGGTTGGGGGGGGGCCCAAGAAAGGAATGGATAGCATAACAAATTTGCATTAAATCAACCAAATAACTTGACCCAGCTATACAGAGCCCTTGGCCAGATACCATAATACGTAAAACGTCCCTCATAGTTGCAGATTCTAACCCTAAACCCATCCAGGAAATGTGGGGAGATAAAATGATATGCCAGGGAGCCAATTCATTCCCAACGTCTTCTCAGAAATGACTGTCTTCCTTCTATTCAAATCCTTCATAGAGAGAGCGTATCCACTTCTTAATTGTGTTCTGAATCCATGGCACAACACAGCACACTTTGGCATAGACTCCTGGGTTCCCTCTTGAAGCACACACAAACTTCCCCCAGGAAACCACACCTTCAAGTAGCCCGTTGCAGACGAGTGGGCCCCCAGAATCGCCCTACAAGAAAAAAAAAACGGCAGAAATTATCACTTAATATTGTTCTTATCCTAGTTTAACTTCAAGAAAAACATCTAATTCATTTTGATCTTATTATGCCAGCCCAACCACGAACTGCAGACCCCAGCATCAGCGCATTTGCCCACCCTTGGCAGAGTGAAATACATGCCACCAGCCAGTATGGAACCGTATATAGGTAGTCCTTGACTTACAACCATTCATTTAGTGACTTTTCAAAGTTACAACTGCACTGAAAAAGGTGACTTACTACCAGCACTTACAATGATCAAAATTGGACTGCTTGGCAGGGGTGGTCTGCCTGGGGGTTCGCAGACGTTCGGGAGAACCTCTAGCTAAGATTCTGTGCAGTTCGGAGAACCCCCAAATCCCACTCCTGGCTGGCCCCGCCTGCCCCGCCCTGCCCCTCCCAGGAGTCCCCACGTGGCCTGTTTTAGATGCAGGTAAGTGCAGGGTATGCACGGAGGCTCGGGGAGGGTGAAAAACGGGCCTACTGGAAGTTCATAAAGGCTGGAAATGGGCCTGTTTCCGGCCTCCAGAGGGCCTCCAGAGCCTGGGGAGGCCGTTTTCGCCCTCCTGGAGGCTTGAATAAAGCCTCCGGAGCCTGGGGAGGGCAACTCCCCCACCGTGGTGCAGGAGGCTGACTAGGCCACACCCATCCAGCAACTGGGCAGAGAACCTCTTGCTAAATTTTTTGAATCCCACCCCTGGTGCGTGGCAATCGGCATGTATTTATGATAGTTGCAGCATTCTGGAGTTACCATTGTGATTATCGTTTGTGACCTTCCCATCTGGCTTTCAACAAGCAAAGACAATGGATGAAGCCAGATTTGCATTAAGAATTGCACAATTCACTTAACAACTAGAACGATTTGCTTAAAACCGTGGCACAAAAGGCACGACTGACTTAACTGCCTTGCTTAGCAATGGAAATTCTAATCCCAATTATGGTCATAAATCAAGGACTATCTGTACATGCCTCTAGTCATTATGTAACCACTATAACTCTCACATAAAGTGTTTTTTTTATCTGGGCAACCTGGTCTACCCAAATGTGGAATGGAGCATACTGCTTCCACTTTCGGCTTTCAGTCCCAATCTAGGAGCCTGTTGCTTTTGGAACAAATTACTTTTGTGTTGACTTTTTTTTTTTTTTTTTTTTATTAATTTTACAACAACACAACATACAAAACACAAACACACAATATGTGTTTCTTTTTACGTATCCAGTTTTGTTACTTACTTTCTATTTTCTACATTTCCCATTTTTCTCATCCTTTATTATCTTTATTTTTATCGTCCCTTTGTTTCCAGTTTTATTCATTTACAGTATTTTACATATTTGTCACATCATTTATTCACTTTTACTTTCCCCAATCTCGAGCCAATCGTACCACTTAGTCCATACTTGATAATATTCTGTGTCTTCCTTTTCTTTTATTACTTTTGTGTTGACTTTTTATTTTACCCTTTATTTATTTGTCAATAAAATAAAAAGATAACTCTCACATGTTCTTAAAAACCTGTACATCACAGGCTGAAACCGGCATCAGATCTCATCTTACCTGGCAAGAGTCAATGCCTCCTTGAGGTACTCCAGCACACAACATGTGTGAAGTGATCTTACCATTATACGCTTTATTGCATTGACTAGATGGAACAATGTTGACATTTGCACACTGCATCTTGGCCGGAAGTTTGTCTGCAAGACATACCAATTGGACAATAGTAACAAAAACCAAAAGCAAGTTAGTGATGCATGAACATAAGGCATATCTGTGGCTTTTTAGATGTTCCTGGGAGAGACGTTCATTCAAAGTTCACCTTTGGTCCTTCTAATTGGAACAGATTGCCAGATTTCACCCAACAAACAGAACTTGAGCCAATTATGGTATGTTATAAGAAACCAAGAATGTCTGAACAGACATCAGAAACCAGAAATTTGGGAGGCTCTGGAGAACATGAATTTGGGGAATGTTGACTGAATTGTCTAATGGTTTGGTTGAGCCAGTTCTTAGGTTTCCATTCATATATAACAGGGGTGAAATCCAGCAGGTTCTGACAGGTTCTGGAGAACCGGTAGCGGAAATTTTGAGTAGTTCGGAGAACCAGCAAATACCACCTCTGGCTGGCCTCAGAGCAGGGTGGGAATGGAGATTTTGCAATATCCTTCCCCCAGGAGTGGGGAGGAAATGGGGAGTTTGCAGTATCCTTCCCCTGGAGTGGAGTGGGAATGGAGATTTTGCAGTATCCTTTCCCTGCCACGCCCACCAAGCCACACCACACCCACAGAACCGGTAGTAAAAAAAATGTGTATTTCACCACTGATATACAAAGCTGGAAACTAAAAGTTGAGATTCCAAGCTTAATTTATATGCGTTCTTACATATGGCTCCAATGTTACACTTCTACTTCAAGTTACACCAGACCCCTTGAGTGTTTCTAGTTTTTATGAATTGAAGGGCCTTCTAAGACCAATCCAAACCTCAACCCTAACCCTAGCCCTAGCCTTAACTTCAAGCCCCAAGCCCCAAGCCCATCCCTAACTCTAGGTTTCTCATTTCTTTTAAGCTCATCTTTTTTAGAAGTACACAGGCCATTTCACAAATGTCTGTCTCAGCGCTTATCGTACAATAAGACAAACTGAATTTAGGAGTGGGAGATTAAACAGCAATAGCAATAGCACTTAGATTTATATACCGCTTCACAATGCTTTGCAACCCTCTCTAAGCGGTTTACAGAGTCAGCCTATTGCCCCCAACAATCTGGGTCCTCATTTTACCCACTTCGGAAGGGTGGAAGGCTGAGTCAAGCTTGAGCCTAGTGAGATTTGAACTGCCAAATTTCAGGCAGCCGGCAGTCAGCAGAAGTAGCCTGCAGTACTGCACTCTAACCACTGCGCTACCGCGGTAAGAAATTGCCATGGTCATATTTGCATGAATGATGACATGAGGAAAACAACATTTGCCCATCTCTTTTTGTCCCCTTACTTTGAGGTGATTTGATCGTGCCCCAGCCTGAAACAGTACATCGTTTCCCATCATTTGGGCAACTGGTAGGCAGTCGTGTGACATTAACTGCTTTGGTTATTTTGGCACAGGGTTTAAGCCGAATAAGCATGTAGTCCTTGTCTATTTTCTTTTTATTGTAACCTGGGTGTGGAACAGCTTCAGCGATATCCATGCACTGCTCTGTTGGCTCAACCTTTTTCAGATTGTATTTTCCTAAACACACCTTCACTCTATACGAAATGAAACAAAATAGAACGAGTCATGAACAAGGCTGAGAAACACCACCCTATAGAAACTAGAAATTATTACATTAGATTTTTATCCTATCTTTATTACTTTATGGGTAATTTAAGATAGTGAGCATACATAATACTCCTTCCTCGTATCTATTTTCCCCACAGCAACTATTTTGGATCTGAGTTGGGCTGAAAAAGAGTGATTGGCCTGAATTCATCCAGTCTGCTTTCAGGCCTAAGGTGGAACCTGAACGCCTCATCTTCTATTTCTAGTTTATGGGTCCTCATTTTACCGACCTCAGAAGGATGGAAGACTGAGTCAATCCGGAGCCTGGTCAGGATCGAACTGCCAAATTGCAGTCAACGGGCAGTCGGCAGAAGTAGCCTGCAGTACTGCATTCTAACCACTGCGCCACTATGGCTCTTGTTATACTGATATTTTAGGTTGAATAGATCATAACAGACAGTAGAAATGCTTATACTCTGCCAGGTAGCAGAGTCAATCTGTTTTTGCACTGGTTCACACAACAAAACCATCCATGGATTATATGATGAGAGGTGTTTTTGTTTTTCAGTCAGTGTCAAGCATGAACAATGTGAAGTGTTTAATTAGCTACTTCATTGCCCAATGCCTATTTCACAGGAATCTTCCCAGACTGGCAGTTTGCACCTGGGCCAGACTAGACAAGGTCCAATGGCATTCAAAGAGGCTAGGCCTCTTATTCCTAAGGATTACAGACTAATTTCCCACTTGACTCCTCCCTCAGCTCAGCCAGTCTCTCTCCTATAGTCACGTTGATGCTGATTTGGACTGAGAAAGCAGGACTGTCTGTCTCATAATTTCCCTCTGGCTTCCATGCCTAAGGGAAAATGTCACCCCCTGGTTCTCCCCATTCTTAGCACCTTAACCACTATATCAGCTTGCTCTCAAGGCAAGGCTCTTATCCTATGATAAATATCCTTACCATTCTCCCTGCTGCTTCATGCTAATTTCTTCTTTGACTTACTTTTGTCTGGCTCTACAATGGGCTGCTGTTAGCACCCAACACCGGTGCACCAAGCTTCCTCCACAATAAATCCTCCAGTTGCCTTTAGTTCCAGTTACAATGGCTGCCTGGAAGGGACGGGAATTTGGTTTGCAGTCATATCCGCCTATGATTCGTTCACCAGTACTTTCCTGTGCCAAGACTTGAGATAAAAGCACACCAAAGAAAAAAATGGTCATCAGAGCATCATTTGCTAAAACCTAGCCCACTGCTTGGACATCTCCACTTGATATTTTCTAAAACCAACCTGAGCATGAAGTCCATTTACATTCCACTGCTGCATTGTTTGCTATTGTTCTTCTAAGAGGACTTAGAAGGACTTTCTCCAGCAAAACTGTTTCTTTGCTCCAAAATGAGACCAGATAATTTCAAATAGAATGGAATGGAATGGAATGGAATGGAATGGAATGGAATGGAATGGAATGGAATGGAATGGAATGGAAGGAAACCCTACAGCATTTCAGACAAATTATCCAATTTCTTCTTTAAAACTTCCAGTGTTGGAGCATTTACAACTTCTGGAAGCAAGTTGTTCCACTGATTTATTGTTCTGTCAGGAAATTTCTCCTTAGTCCTAGGTTGCTTCTCTCCTTGATTAGTTTCTACCCATTGCTTCTTGTTTCTACCCTCCCCAGCTTCCTCACTGTCCGACTCTGCTGCCAGCTCCGCAGGCTGCTGGTGGACCACAACACTTGTCCTGACTTCAGATGCTTTGGAGAATGGATCTGTCAGTCCCATCTTCTTTGTGGCAGCCCCTGAGATATTGGAAGACTGCTGTCATGTCTCCCCTAGTCCTTCTTTTCATTAAACTAGACATACCCAGTTCCAGCAACCGTTCTTTATATGCTTTAGCCTCAAGTCCCCTCATCATCTTTGTTGTTCTTCTCTGCACTTTTTCTAGAGTCTCCACATCTTTTTTACATTGCTTTCTTTCTTTTTTTACTTTCTCCCTGGAGAGCTACAAGAGCAGGATTGTTTGCATTGGAAAGGTGAGACCAGTCTGGAGAGAGCAAACCATAAGAAGAAGAATGGGAGAAGCTTCAAACTTGCCTCCTTTCAGTTAGCACCTGGAGAGCAGAGCAGGCTAAGAATGTAAACGGCTCTTCCATACTCTGATGACAGCAAATCTATTGGCATTATTATAATGGCCATTTCTAAATTACCGTAGTATGTATCTATACAAACCAGAATATACATACTTGATAGAAATGTGTGCTTTTTGTCTTCTTTCTTAAGAGGGGAGGAGCAAGGTCTACTCTGATGGAAGAGAATATTTGTAGCTCAGGTTTGAACTGTGGCAAAGTAAAACCTCGAAATACGCTGGTGGAATTAGGCTATGAGTTAGATTGGTGGACATACAATCAGATCCAATCCAGGACACCTCAGGACAAAAACAAGGGAGGAATCTATAATTCCCTACAAGAACTTGACAAGATCTTGTTGGGGAAATATGAGAAGGTATTATCCAAACTGTATCAATTCCTCTTAATGGATTGGATTGGAGAGGAGGTTATCAAGGATTCAATGATTGCCTGGGGGAGAAATTTGGGATATTCGATTGAGCTTGAAAAATGGGAAGAAATTTGGGGGAAAACCCTAAAACTAACAATGTTGGTTTCCTATAAGGAAAATACATATAAAATGCTCTATAGATGGCACCTTCCTCCGGCTAGATGTTCCCAGGAACCTCCCCGGTCTGTTTGAAATGCAACGCCGCTATGGGAACTTATTTTCATATCTGGTGGACCTGTCCCTGAGCAAGAGAGTATTGGGCCAGAATTCAAAAATGGATTTTAGAAATCATAGGATGTAGGATAAAATTGAATCCGGAAATGTTTTTACTAGGCATGAAACCAGAGAACTTAAACAAATCTAATTGGTATCTCGCTCTCCACATCATCATTGCCGCCAGGATCTCGTTTGCGCAAGAATGGAAATCCAAAAATACCCCATCGGAGGCTACGTTAACTGCAAAGATCATGGACTGTGCAGAGGCAGACAAGTTTACAGGACTCTTGTGAGATAGACAAGAATCGGGGCTATATATGAGTTGGGATCGGTGGTATGCTTGGCTGCAAAAAAGAAATCTTAAGAAGAATGTAAAATAATAATCTTAGTGTGACTGTGGATAAATATTTATAGGAATATTGCATGGCAGTTGAGAATCCCTCCTTCTGGATAATCTTTTTTTTTTTTTATGATTTGGTTTAATGGAGGTTTGTACTATTTCTAGGCGAAAATTGATGCTTTAAAACTCTATATGTATTCTATTACTCCCTGCAATTCTATCCATATTGCTATATTTTTCTGTACTTTTTAATAATTTTCAATAAAAATAATAAAAAAAAAGGTTTGAACTGTGAGGTCCTTGAGGCTCTCTGAGCTTGGCTGTTTTCTTGCATACATTTCATTACCAAACTAAGTAACATCATTGGTGTTAGCCAACTATCTCACTTCAGAGCATTTGGGGACAATCTTTCCCTATCTTTCTTTCTTCCTCAGCTTGTTATCGTGTTGTTGTTTGTAATCTCGCTGACATGTCTTTTTGCAGCTTTCCAACCACAACACAGAATGACCTGCCATCCAGGGGTGAAATTCAGCAGGTTCTGACAGGTTCTGGAGAACCGGTAAACAGAAATTTTGAGTAGTTCGAAGAACCGGCAAATACCACCTCTGGCTGACCCCAGAGTGGGGTGGGAATGGAGATTTTGCAGTATCCTTCCCCTGCGATGCCCACCAAGCCACATCACACTCACCAAGCCACACCCACAGAACCGTTAGTAAAAAAATTTGAATTCCACCACTGTTGCCATCCTCTTTTTTTCCTGTCATGTCCCTATAATGCTGCCTTCATCAGAATCCGAGCTCACAAGACAGACAGGCTTAAATTATTCTTTGCTCTCTCCATTTTAAAGAATGGCGAAATCTCAGTTTAACTGCCTATTCAGGAGAGGCAGTTATCCTGAATGTTGTTACATTGCAAATCTCTCTCTCTTTTTTTTTTGCAGCAGTTCATGACATCATGGTGTCATGATGCAAATGATATAAATTGGTGTGAATTAAATAATTTGTGTCATAACACAAATGTCACAAATTACTGCTAAAAAAAGGTAAAGGCTCCCCCACACATGCGTGCTAGTCATTCCCAACTCTAGGGGGCGGTGCTCATCTCTGTTTCAAAGCTGAAGAGCCAGCGCTGTCCGAAGATGTCACCGTAGTTATGTGGCAGGCATGACTAAATGTCAAAGGCGCACGGAGCGTTCTTACCTTCCCACCAAAGTGGTCCCTATTTTTCTACTTGCATTTTTTACGTGCTTTCGAACTGCTAGGTTGGCAGAAGCTGGGACAAGTAACGGGAGTTCACCCTGTTACGTGGCACTAGGGATTCGAACCACTGAACTGCCAACCATCTGATCAACAAGCTCAGAGTCTTAGCCACTGAGCCACCGTGTCCCACTTAAATTAAAGTATAATTAAAGTAAAAACAACAAATGTAATTGTCCGGTCTAGAATATTTCAGGCACAACACACTTGTCTGCTATTTCCAGGAGAAATTCGGGCTGTTACTTCCAGAGTCCGCTAAATAGGGTCATTTAATTGAGGTTTCTCTTTAGGATTGGAAGATCAAGTATATAGCTGTTTGACCTTTAAATCTTTCTATTTCATTTATTCCATCTGTCAGCCTCCGTTTTTATATTGCTTGCTTGCTACGGCTGCCATTGAAACGGGGGGAGGGGGGAGCTGTCTTCTGGATAGTTGGGAGGGGGGAAGTGAGCTGGTGGAGTAAATTGGAGAAAGTTTTCCTCAGCGTTTCTCTGCAGCTGGGAGGCGCGCTGATAACCAGTCAAAGTCAACTGTCCTGGCATACCAGAAGGATGGAGCCATCGGAAGCTGCACCCCACATGACATCTTGGGGGGGATGTGGATTGGATAATCCTGACTGGACTCTTGCGGGGAGGGTTTTAGGGATGTTTTCTATATGTGATTTTTGCACCCATTGCCTCAGACCTTGCTTTTCTTTGGTTGCATTCAGTTCATACTCAGTAAAAGTACCTTTCTCTATGAAAATGGAGTCGGTGTTTTTCTTTCTTGAGTACCGAAAGGAGGCATACCTGACACCATCATACATTTATAACTCTCATTTTGTTTGTCACTACATATCACATAGGTCTTTATTACTGTCCAGAATAGGAAATGAGAGATTATACTTCAAATTTACAAGGAGTTCCATTTTAGGTTTCCAGATTTATACACAACATTCTTGCTTCACACTGGGTCAGACTGATTATTTATTTATTTATGAAATATATCGGCTGCCTATCTTACTGTAGAGTAACTCTGTGACAATTGTGCATCCATGAATGAGAAGGAGGGGGGGAAATGATAAATTTGTACATCTGAATGTGCAATATTGCATTATGTCGCCTCCTCCTCTATTTACCTCCTGGTATTGATAGCAAAGATCCTAATAAAGCTTACAAATAAGAAAAGGTTGATTACCTGGAGTTAATTTCCTTACCTGTTGAGCTCACCAGAAGTAACCCCCAAAATAATTGTTTCATCCTTGGTTTTGTGAGGTCAATTGGAACCCAAAAGTCTTGGGACAATTGGCTGCAGGGCAAGAGATCTGCAAAGAACAAATGCATGGATATCTACAAGATTAAATCACAGTTACTGGCCTTCTCTGTGGCAGTAATGAGGCCAAGCAGCATTAACACCGCTAACTGTGTATGTAAACAGTTCTCCTATAATTATTATTCATAATGCATTATTATTAATGCATTTTGTTCTGCTGTGAAATATTGGTAAACACTTCCTGTGGGTGAGACATAGATGGGTTTAATCAGGCAAGGAAGTTTGGAAATTTTACTCAGATTATTTATTTATTTATTTATTTATTTAAATTATTTATATGGCCACCTCTCTCATAGCACTGACAGTGAATTTTCATTGTCTGTGGTCATAATAAAATAATAGAAATGAGGAGAAAATGGAGGAGGAGGAGGAGGAGGAGGAGGAGGAGGCTTATATTTTGATTCTTAGTCACTTTTGATCATGAGGTATATAAAAGAAAGCATAACAATAGTACAACATTTAACATTCAAAGCATTGAATGACAGACACATCATGGGATTGGTACTAGAACAATATTCCATAATTTGGAAGGGAAAAAAAAGTAGTTAGTCTACCACTGTGTTTTAGCTGTTTCTCTTCCCAACTTTTCTTTTGAGACACATTATTACTGGAGAACCAAATAATGTGAGATGAGCGGGGATATAAATTGATGAAATAAATAGGTATGTGAAAATCTGTGTACTAACTAAAACAAATTTCACTTCCAACAAAATATAAATATTTTTTTCCTGTTGGAAGAGAAAACCCTATTGAAAGATGCATAATTATTTTTTTTTAACATTTCAGTATTTGATATGTTGAAGTTTGTATTCTTGCACAGTGCAATACTTCTCTGATATATATTTAGTTAATATAGGGGGAAGGAAAAAGAAGAACCCACACAACTGAATGTTTGGCTATCGTATCTATTAATCTCAACACTGCCGCACATTTTTTGACTCTGAACGAATTATACAAATACACACACACACACAAATATGTTTGTGCAGTTTCTCACTCACCTCTACCTCCAACTTTTAGATGCAATCTGGTAGGAAGTAAAAGATCACCTATATTTGAGAGAAGATTCCTGTAGCAAAGTAAAAAAAGTCCTTAAACGTATAAGTTCTCTTATAATTATTATCCATAATGCATAATGCACGGTTGATAAGAAACCCTGTTCCAATAAGAATCAGAGAGAGAGAGAGAGAGAGAGAGAGAGAGAGAGAGAGAGAGAGAGAGAGAGAGAGAGAGAGAGACAGTTTTCAAGACATGAGTGTTTTGCACATAAAGAATTCAATAACCAGTCATAAATAATCCCAATAAAAATTCTAGGAAGTCCCTTTATTGCTGGTCTGAGCAAAGGATTAGACTCAATTACCTAAATAACTCTTTCCAGTAATAGGATTCCACACTGCCTTCTTCTTCTTTAGACAATGGATTTATAGCTTCCTTTTCAGCCACTTAAGTAAGACATACATTTCAGCTGGTGTTTGTACACCCAGTTAAAATATATCTTTGTAATCTAGTCTGCATGTTATCGAGAGCCAGAAATATAGTACATTGGATGATGCCCAAATCTCAAAGATACTTTTTTTTTCATTTTGTGTTCCATATCATTTATGTTTCATGAGATGATTAAAATCTGGCATGATCTAAAAAGGTAGGGGGAGAAGGGAAAAAGGGGTGGCTCTCACATGTTTATCCAAAGGGCACCAAAGTTTTGAAATCATGTTATAACTTCTCTTTCTCTTTCTTCTGCGTGCTTCCGATCCATGATCCGGCCATAGATCCCAGAAATGTAAAAAAAAAACCCTCCAAAAAAAACCTTTTACAAAAACAATTTAGTTTAAATCTCTTGCACTTTTGACCAAAAAGCTTCTTTAGCAACCTTTCTTTTCTCCCTTGAAGACAATTTATCAGGAAAGGAAGTTACAAATTTTACACCATTCTTTAAAAAAAAATAAAAAAATTGATAAACTTTCCACGAAGGGGTACCATATCCCTATGCATTGTAATGCCATCCAAATTTGCCCATTCCAAAAGATTAAATACAGCAGCATAGACTCTTGTCCAAAATTAAGACTTATAGTCAAATATCCGAAATTGTGAATTAAATCTCACTCACCTGCGGTTCTTGACAAAGCTTCAGAGGGAAGACACTCCTGAGACTGTTGTCTAAAAGTGAGTAACTAATGGAGAAGTTAACATTTAAATGCTGGAGAAGAAGGATGTCCTGGATGTGAGTCCTTACATGATGCATCACAGGTTTGGAGCATGCGCTGTGACTCAAAGTAGTGGTTGCATATCATCCAATCTCTTTTCTAGCAAGAAACCCACATTAAAATCTGAATGGGCCAGCCTACCAGCTCCTGGGTCCACCCTCCGCCTCTTCATATTATGTCTCTTGAAGAAACATCAGGATCTTCCTAGAATATAATGGAGAAAATGTAATAAGTTTCCCCCCACCCCCCATCGCAGAGTGTACTTTTCTCTGATAATGTAAACTTGCGGTTTGAATATCGGTGGTAGAGAAATGGGGAAACTAGATGGCCAATATTTGAATTTAAAGAAAGTGCAGCTCCTGGCTTTGCATATACTAACCGCAACTAGAGTTGTATTTGCACAGCAATGGAAAAATGATGAGATTCCATAAGAGGGGAATGTAATTAAGAAACTACTAGAACGCGCAGAAATGGATAGATGAACGCTCACTATAAAGGATAAGGAAGAAACTGAATATTTTTTGATATGGGATGCATTTTATCAATGGCTAGACAATAGGAACAGAAGTTAGAAAGGAGGAGATATATAAAAAGAGGAAATGTTAATGTGGAAAAGAAGATGATGTTATGTATTATTATTATTATATTATTAATATTATTGTGATGAATACTACAACAAATATGTGGATTATGACTGCTTAAAAATACCTGTGCCCAGATCACACACTGTTTAATGGAAATTGAATGTTATATAAATAAAACAAATAAAACATGAAAAAAAGAAAAGAAAAGAAAAGAAAAGAAAAGAAAGCACAACTCCTGGAGAACCTGAAAAGCCAGCTGTTAAGCTCCAAGGATAAACAAAGGTTTATTCCTTATCAGAAAGCAAGATCCAAAGCCTCTATTTCATGTTGGACACATGTATCATTCTTTACTTGTCTTGATTCAGGGACTAAATTCAAAACACAAGTAGAATTATTAGCTTTGAATGGGAGTCTATACTCTCTTTATACTGGCCTTTTAAACAGCAATATGTTCAAATTGACGGGGAATAGGACTTAGCTCCATGTATGACAAGCATTGCAAGCTTTGCATTGTTGCAATAGAGGTGGATTCTTTTTTTAAAAAAACAAGCAATTTTGTTTTATGCTATTTCTAGACCACAGAAGAATGCCACTCTCTGAGCATAGTGAGCATGGCTCGTGCCTGAAGTTGGAATATAAGAACATCTGGATGATGATGGCTTTTCTTCCCCGTACAAAGAGTAAAAGATTACTAGTGGAGATGTATTCTTCAAGGATCTTATAATTCATAATATTGACTAATTCATATCATATATCATAATATATGATTGACTAATCTAAGAAATTAGCAGCATTAGGACAGAGGTGTCAAACTCAAGGCCCAGGGGCCAGATTTGGACCACAAGGTGCTTAGAACTGGCCCACGGGGTGGCCCTGGAAACAGTGAAGGACTGGCCTGTAGTGCCTCTGCCAGCGAAAAATGGAGCTTGGGAGGCCTCCCGAGCTCCATTTTCACTGGCTGAGGGTTGCAGGAGGCTTTTGCAGCCAAAAACGGAGCTCGGGAACCTGTTATCGCTGGCAGACCACTGGGGCTACCACAGGCTCCCCGACACGAGTGATGTTGAGCTGGCCATGCCTACCCTGGCCACGCCCACCCAACCCCCTGAGGTCAAACACAACCCTGATGCGGCCCTCAATGAAATCGAGTTTGACACCCCTACATTAGGAAATATGAGAATGTGAATTTATAGAATAGAATAGAATAGAATAGAATAGAATAGAATAGAATAGAATAGAATAGAATAGAATAGAATAGAATAGAATAGAATAGAATAGAATTCTTGATTGGCCAAGTGTGATTGGACACATAAGGAATTTGACTTTGGTGCATATGCGCTCAGTGTACATAAAGAAAACATAAAATATATTCATCAAGGATCATAAGACATAACACTTAGTGATAGTCATAGGATACTAATAAGCAATTAAATCATTCTAGGAAACAATAAAACAATATAAATTGTAAAGATACAAGCAACATGGTTATAGCCATAAGTGAGAAGAGATAGATACTAGGAAGGATGAGAATAATAATAATAGTCATACAGTAAATTATTTGACAGTATTGTGGGAATTAGTTGTTTAGCAGAGTGATGGCATTCGGGAAAAAACTGTCCTTGTGTCTAGTTGTTCTGATGAGCAGAGCCCTATAGCGTCATTTTGAGGTTAGGAGTTGAAACAATTTATGTCCCGGATGTGAGGGGTCTGTAGATATTTTCACAGCCCTTTTTTTGACTCGTGCAGTATTTCTGCAAATAATAGGACCGGGAAGGAAAAATGAACAGTTGGAGCTGTTGGGTATGGCTAGCCTGGAGGGAAGGAAATTATTCCTACCCAGGTTGTCTAATTATCCATTGTTTAAAAACCTCCAACACTGAGCTTTTCATTTCATTTTCATTTCATTTTCTTACAATGAAATCTGTGCCTTTTATGGAGAAATAAACTCCATGAAATTCAATGGGATTTAGGTGGCAATTTTGCCTACTTTTCTTTCATTGTACTTCTGAGTAGCACAAATAACGCAAAATAGGAAATAATTTCCTGCCCTAAAACCATTATAGTGACTCATTACCTGTTAACAGATAACAGCCTTGGTGGTGCAGCAGACTAAAGTGCTGTTAAATAGCACCAGCTGCCTGCAATTACTGCAAGTTCAAATCTCACCAGGCTCAAGGTTGACTCAGCCTTCCATCCTTTCTAAGGTAGATAAAATGAGGACTCGGATTGTGGGGGCAATAAGATGACTTTGTATAAAAAAGACAACCGCTTGGGGGCCCCGAAAGCCCTGCTAAGCAGGTATATACAAAAGTATGAAGGCTATTGCTTAACGCATTGTAAGCCGCCCTGAGTCTCTAGAGAAGGGCGGCATACAAATTGAACCAATAAATAAACATTAGCCAAGATGGTTTCATAGGAAAATCATTAGGAGTATCCCATAACACATCTGTGCATGCACTTGTGTGCCTATGCTAACCATATATAAATATATGCTGTAGACTACATAGGAAGCACACGTATTCCACTTCGCACATTTAGATAAGATTTATGCAAGTGTTAAATAACTCTAATATATAAGTGTGCTCCTTTACCATTCATCAGTACAGTATGTGCTACAGAACTGAATGCAACATGTGATAATATTTTGCCAATCATTTCCAAGACTGTTGCCAAAAAAAAAGGCACTACAGCCCAGAACATAACAGTATAATCTTCATCTGGGTTAGGTGCTAGATTACATATTTTATTTTAGGAGGTTTTGAAATCCTCTGTCACTTGGTTGGGACTCAAATATGTTTTTTCAAAAGGCCATCGGACTGGTTTTGTTTCGGTTTGTTTTGTTTTGAGGAAGAAGTCAGTTGTGATTGAATGGTGGGTGGGATGGAAGGATTGTATTTCTTTGCAGCCATCTGGTCATTAGTACTCTCTCTGAGAGCCGTTGAGGCCACTTGAGGGTTTATCTGTGCCCATTCCCCCCACCCACCACCACCATCTGGTTGTTGGAAGAAATATCCATCTGGTTCAGTTCCAAGCTGGGAAAAAGACACTGGAAACATGGAGGCTGATTGGAAAGATGGTTTAATGATGAAGCAGAACGACATGGATTCTGGTGAAGCTGACCACATGGAGTGAGAGTGGGATGGTGGTTTATACCTTTTCTTGGCCTTTGCACTTGAGCTCCCTGTTCCTGTGCAAGAACATCTATCCTATTGGTTGTTGTAGGGGTTATATAGGGGTCATAGATTGTCTGAGCTAAGTTTGGTTGAAGTTTGGTCTGCTCTGAGATGATGTAATGAAGGAGCTTGTGTTCTGAAAAGGTGTTGAGCAATTCCTATTATGGCTTAACGGCTTTGTCCTGGTTTGGATCTTGAGTGAGGGCTAATCCTATCACTCTGCCTTTGTTCAGACTTTGCTGCAGGGAGTAATGGATTACCAAATCTGCATTTCTAAAAGCTGCCCCAGCTCAGTATTTGCTTCACTAGGGAGCTGGGGCTCTGAGTTTCTGTCTCCCTTAAAAAAAATTTATTTCTCTTTTAAGGGAAATATTTTATCTTACCTTTATAAAATTATTCTTCAAAATATTTCATTCTTCTGGGGCGGGGGTGGCTTCCCACACGATCATAACTGTCAGAAACTATCCTTCCACCCACCCACCCAATCGCTACCAATGAAGATTCTTGGCTGAGAAGCTAAAAGTCTTCTTCTTCCTCCAAGAAAAAAACAGTCCAGTTGCCTTTTGAAGAAGTACCTTTGAGACAATTATGACCTGGATGACTGAGACTCTCCATAGACACTTGGTTGGGACTTTTAATTTTTTTTAATCCTTCATGGAAATGAAAATGCCATCCTAAACTTGGCTCAGAATGGTCAAACTTTCTCAAATCTGGAGTTCTGGAGAGGAGTGGTGTAAAACAGTTGGAAAAGAACACATACATCCCACTTTTGTTTTGGTTTTTTGGCTTTTTATTATAACACAATATGACAAACACAAAACACACACACACATATATATATTCTCTTTTTACAGCTATTGGGCCAAGGTGGCACAGTGGTTAGGGTGCAGTACTGCAGCTACTTCAGCTGACTGCTAGTTCAACAGATCAGAGGATCAAATCGCACTGGCTCAAGGTTGACTCAGCCTTCCATCCTTCCGAGGTGGGTAAAATGAGGACCCAGATTGTTAGGGGGCAATATGCTATTTAGTATACTTTCTTTGGTGGAAGCCGCCCAGAGTCCTCGGAGAGTGGGCGGCATAGAAATATGACTAATAAAATAATAATAAAATAAATAAATAATCTTCTAATATTTACATTCTCCCCTGATTCCCTTTATACTGTTTCATTTTTTTCTTGTCCCTTTCTCTTTTAGTTACCTTGTACTTCTTAACAATCATATTGATTTTATACATTCTATACATTATCATATTCATTCTTTCCATTT